GTGTAGTTTGGAGCCTGTCCTGGCACTCACTCTGTAGACCAGGCTGGCCTCAGACCCACATAGATCCGCCTGCCTCTGCCTCCCAAGGTCTGGGATTAAGGTGTACCCTATCTCCACCTGGCCAAGACCCAAAATGTTTAATTAATTTATTTAGTGTTTAGAGCAGTCAATGATTTTAAACTCTTAATAGAAAATTAAAAAACTGCTGGGTGGTGGTGGCACACGTCTTTAATCCCAGTCCTCAGGAGGCAGCGGCAGGCAGACCTCTGAGTTCAAGGCCAGCCTGGTCTATGGAGGAGTTCCAGGACTGGCTCTATAGTTACTGAGAAACCCTGTCTTGAAAAACCAACCCCCCTCCAAAATAACAACAGAAAAAAACAAAAACAAAAAACTAGAAAACCAGTGAGGAGGTTAGTTTTGGTGATGGAAGGCATCAAAGTCAGGAAAGCATTCTGCCACCGAGGTACCTTTCCAGCCTTTGGCTTTTTCAGAGTGTCTCACTATGCAGTCAATCCTCCTGTCTTCATATTCCAAGTGCTGGGATTAAAAGTGGGAGCACTATGCACATGCAGGAAGCACTAATTAGACTTCATAATTTATTAAAGAAAGGATAGGCCAGTTTGGTGACACAGTAGGTAAAGACACATTGCCAAGACTGATCTAAGTTCAATTCCCAAGACCCACATGGAGGAAGGAAAGAACCAAGTCTCATTGTCTCCTGATTTCTCTGTATGCACTGTGGCACACGTGTGCTCTACATAGACAGACACACAAATAGATAAAGTGCAATGAAAAAAGAAAGGAGGTCATGGGGTGGGAAAGGGACATACTGCGGATATCTAGGGGTGTGAAGAGGAAGGTGTGAGTGGATATGACCTAGATACACTGCATACATTCTTGAGATTGATAGAAAATCAATAAAAATATTCTAAAAAATAATTATGGCCAGGTGGCAGCGGCAGTGCACACCTTTTAATGCCAGCACTCAGGAGGCAGAGGCAGGCAGATCTCTGAGTTCAAGGCCAGCCAGACCTACAGAGCCAGTTCCGTGACAGCCAGGTCTACACAGAGAAACCCTGTCTCAAAAAACAAAACAAAATAAAACAAAAAAGGAGTTTGTGTTTGAACTCTTTGTTCTGCTGATTTCCCATCAATCCCAACCTTTAAGTGACATTAGCTACTTACAGACTCCAGTATAGTCTTCTCAAAGACATCTAGTCTCCTGGTCTCTAGAGCAATGCCAATCGCTTGCTTATACTTGTGATCATCGAGACATCGCTGGAACATTTTGTTCACAATGCCTTCCAATCTCTGGTCAATTGGCTTTTTTTCTCCTTCAGGCAAATCTGCATTTTCTACACACTGTTTGGTATAATGATCAATGCATTTTGCTACAGAGAAAATAAAATAACTAATTATTTTATAAACTGGTTTAACTCCCAGAAAAGGACAATGTATACATTTATGATCATGAACACTACAAATAAGTACAAAGTAATAAGTATGATTTAAAAATGCTAGAACTTAATACTTTCAATTAAGTCATTTTTTATGATAGTTACGATAAAAGACCACACATCAACACCAACAAAACTGTATTATTCCAAACATTACTAATTATTTTGACAAAAATTATAGTAATCAATTTGATTAATTCAAGAGTTGGCTACAAATAGTTGCTACTTCATTTTTTAAAAAAATACTTGTCATTACACAATATTTAAAAAGGTCTGTAACAGTAATTACCACAAAGAATATATTATACTTCACATCTGAAAATAAATATTTATCTATTTTATAAATATTTAAATAAGTATTTATCTATTTAGGATAATGGTGCCACAGGCTGAAAAAGCAACTCCAAAGAAAGCCAAATACTTTTCAAGTAACGGCAGCAAATCAGAATAAAACACTGTCTTAGTATGATACGGAACATATATCCCCCAGACGCCTACAGTAATTCCAGCACTCAGGAGACCAAGGCAAGAGAATTCTGAGTCCAGGATCAGTCTGCTATATATTGAAAACTTGTCTCAAACAAACAAAAAGACAGACAATTATAAAAATCAGTACTATTTAACTGGTCACTCATAACAATCTGATGTCTTCATTTCACCAACTGCTTATTGGACTGGAAATGGCCATTGCTGCTGAGGAAAGCCACACTCAGAGGAAGCTGATGTAAAAATGTTGCCTGTTTCATGCTATTAGATGATTGTGAACTTCCAATTAAACCAAAATCTAGCAACATCAGAGTAAAGTGAATAAAAAGGCTATATCCACTAGAGCGAGAAAGACATCTGCAAGATAAAAACCTTATCAGATGGAAGATACTTACCTATAATAGTCTCCACATATTCAGAATTATCATTGACATTGAAGAGGTCGCCTGCTCCAAGAGCATAATTCAGAGACTCCTCAAAAGCCCCCAGATGATAAAATACTTTAGATGCCACCAGGGCTGCAAACTGCCGACTCCGGAAACCTTCATCTTCATATAAAACTTCTCTGAAAGATATAAGGACAGGTGGGCCTTGCTTAAGTTATCATCTCCCTTGAAAACTCAAAATATAAATATCCAAACAACAAATCAGCAGTAGATTCCTAAATGAGTTAGTAAGCAATTCTACTTTATCCAAACTTGTAGAAATAAAGTATTTTCTTACATTTTGTCTACAGACTCAGAAATTTCTGCCCAGAAGTCATTGACAACTGCATTCAATTTGTGTAGTGCAAATTCCTGTAAAATAAAACAAAATTGAATTTTTAAAAGACTTAACATCATGCTTCCTTTTGACATCATGCTTTCCAATTGACTGGGTGTGGTGGTGAATGCCTTTAATCTCAGCACTAAGGAGGTAGAGGTAGGTGGATCTCTACAAGTTCAAGGCCATCCTGGTCTCATCCAGAATAGTCAAAGCTATGTAGAAAGACCTTGTCTCAAGAAACAAAACAAAAAAAGTGACCACAAACTTATTGCCAATTTTTCAGTAATATTTATCTAAAAATCTCATGTCTGACAAATCCATAAATTTAAGAAAATACTTTTTCTTAGATTTACTCATTTTTTGGTTGTACTCAAACATAAAATAGTAAACTATGCATGTACTATTACTTCTTATAACGATTGCTTGCTTCTTTGAATATATGACTCCAGCTTGCTAGTTTATATTACACAAATACAGGTATCTAGAGCCACTTGTAGAACAGTCTAGTTTTTGAACTTTAAGAACAACTGTTTTATTACATTTTTTAGCTGTGTGTGTGTGTGTGTGTGTGTGTGTGTGTGTGTGTGTGTGTTCATGTGCCACACTGTGCTTGTGGAGGTAAAAGGACAATTTGTGGAGGAGGTCACTTCTCTTCTACCATTTGGGTTCTGGAGATCAAACCCAGGTTGTCAGGCTAGGCAGCAAGTGCCTTTACCTGCTGAGCCGACTTGCCTGCCCAATATTTCAAAACGTTGTCAAGTGAAAATACAATAGGATGCGACACTGAAGAAGCAAAGTTTTGTGCTCACTGTTGATAATGAAACTGGAGGGTTATTCATGTGCCATCTTATCATCTGTTACCCTTAATTTTTTAGTATCAAAATATTGTCTTCTCTAACTAGATTTCAATGATTGGCTACAGGCTATAGGATGACTACTTCAAATGATAGGAAATGTAATGATATCAAAACCAAAGAGACTTCACAGAATTCACAGTAAGCCGAGTGACTTTATTCAACTCATACCTTAAGCTGTGGCTCTTCTTCATCCAGAAGGGAAATAATTCCAGCTATAAGACAAAAGACATACCACAATTAAGAAACATGCACATGAAGATAGATACTAACACTTGGTCAAAACCTAACAATGGGGCTGGTGAGACAGCTCAGTTGGTGAAGTGTTTGCTGTACAAGCCTGAGGACCCCAGGTGGACCCCAGCAGCCATCTAAAAAGATGGGCATGATCTTAGTGCTGCAGAGGGAAAGGCAGAAACCAGCAGATGCCCTGTCTCAAAAAAGGTGGGCAGGCATAGAAGATGCCTGCTGCTGTTAACCCTGGAGTTCAAGCCCTAGCACCAGCTTAAAAGCTGGGTATAATCCCAGCACAGACACGCAGACACAAAGACACACAGAGCTTGCTGGACAGCTAGTCTAGCCCACTGGTGATCTCTGGGCCCAGTGGGACCCCATTTCAAAAACCAAAGTGTAGAGTGATAGAGGAAAACATCTAACATTTACCTTTGGCCTCTATATTCACTGGCACATATATGTGCATGCACACTCAAAACACACTCATACATATAATGCATATATACACAAAACAGAAGACAAGGAAAAAAGTATTCTTAGTGACAACTTCAATAGGGAAACAATTCTTTTTCTTTAAAATCGTAGAAGTTAATGGGGTTAAGGAGATGGCCAAGCAGGTAAGAGTGCTTGCTTAGCAAGCATGAAGACCTGAGTTCAAATCTCCACAAGGCCACATGTACCAACTATCCCTGGTGGAGTGGGGCAGAGACAAGAAGATAGCTGAGGTTTGCTGGCCTGTAGCCTAGACCCAGGTTCAATGAGAGATCCTGTCTCAGGAGAACAAGACAGAGATATGGGTTGGGCAGGGAGATGGCAAACAGAGACAGAGACAGCACAAGCAAGAGAGGTGAGCAGGAGACCCAACATTCTCCTCAAGCCTCTGTATGTGTGCAGGAGCACAAACACATGTGTACACATCACATACATTCTCTAATATTCTCTCTCTTATACACACATACACAAATACACATGCATACTGGGGGGAGAGGGCACATGTATGTGCCACAGTGTACACTGAGGGCAACTGGTGGAAGTTGTTTTGCCCTTTCAACACATGGGTCCTGGGTATCAAACTCGAGTCATTAGCTTGGGGCGAGTGCTTTATCCACTGAGCCATCTCAGTGGTCCATAAATAAAAATATTTTCAAAACAACTGTAGAAGTTTATATTTTGGAGCTTTTATATTTATCTGTGTCAATATATGAAATCTCACCAACCTCCTATGAGCCGTCTTTTGCCTAGTCCAAACATTTTCAAAGTATGGTTCTTGGCCCAACAGTGTTACTGTTACTTGGAAACTTACTGCAAGTGTAAACTCCTGGTCTTGCCCCAGAACCTCTATACCAGACTATGGAGTCTAGACCCAGGAATAAGGATTCTCTATGGTTCGTGTGGTCACTACAGTTTGACAACACTCATCTGATATACTAACCAAGCCAGGAAATACTTCTACACAACTTTAGAATAATATTTATTCACACAAAATAAACCAACAACTGCTGAGTGTGGTGATACATGCTGCAATCCTACCATGTGGAAAAGGCTGGAGAATCCCAAATTTAAGGCTGATCCTGATTCAAAAAATAAAGTAAAATAACTTAGAAAAAAAGTAATGTTTCAATTATTTCAGTGTGTCCATATTAAAGTACCCCTTCCTATCACAGATAACAGATTACAACATTTATTTTTGTATTTATCTACTTATTGTGTGTGAGCACACATGCCACACTGCACACAGGCGGATCTCTGTGAGTTCGAGATCAGCCTGGTCTACAAGAGCTAGTTCCAGGACGGCCTCCAAAGCCACAGAGAAACCCTGTCTCGAAAAAACAAAACAAACAAACAAACAAACAAAAAAGAAGTGTCCCTGTCATTTTAGTTCAAAGATGTAGCTGCTTCCACATGGTACCACAGATTTGGCAAACAGCTCCAGCAGTTTTTGGGTAGCCACAATGGAAAAGGTACAATGTTTAGCAGGAAAATAGGGCACCTCAATGTTCTAAAGGCAGAAGCCTTGGTATGCTGGGTTGGCATGACACACCCAGAAGAGGAGAAAAGATAAACTTGAAATCACTTTAACTGTTAAATGCCTTAATTGACGCTGTAACACTTTTATTGTTAGAAAAAAAAAAGAACTAGTGTGTGTATGGAGTGAGGGATGGGGGAACAATGACACAGATGTCAGACCACAACAGTTGGCATGGAGAATGATGATACAACGCTTAATCCTAAAGACACTTGTTGTCTATCACAAGCAATGCTGCATCAGGCTGGCTATTTTTACCAGAAGATCTTTGGATCTCCTGTGGCTTCAGCCGTGACTGATTTCTTCGATGGCTGTCCTGGCACAGAATGCCAGCCTTCAGTGACGGAGCTCAGTTACATCAAATATGCTGTATACTCCCACACCAGTATTTCCTGCTTAAAGGCGAAATAGAATCCAACTTTGGATAGGCAAAGACCAAGAATGTGCTCTTTTCAGGTGAAAACCTAGGAATGTGCTTTTTAAAAGCTTGTATGGAACTGGAGAGATGTTCAGAGAGGTCCTCTGAGCAGAGAGGTCCTCCAGCCTCTTCTATGGCAGAGGACCAAGGTTCAGGTCCCAACACCCACATGACAGCTCACAACCATCTGTAACTCCAGTTCTGGGGAATCCAATGCCCTCTTTAGACCTCCATGTGTACCAGGCACACAGGTGGTACAAATGTATACAAAGGTAAAACACTCACACACATAAATAAATCTGAATAAAAATAAAGCTTATATCATAACTGTCTTAAATTATTGACTCAATTAATAGAAATGTTTTCATATTATTTATTAATATAGAGGTATGTCCTGGAATTATTACTTGAAAGTTGAATAAGGTTGATTCTGGAGGTCAGAAGAGGACAGAGGGTAGAAAACTATTGTTTCAAAGCTTGTCAGCATTACTTCCTCTCTTTGCTTATGTTAATCCAATCCACTCAATTTCATGTTTCCTTCTAGTAAGTACTAATCCCTTTATCCCCAGTCTCTTTCATAGTCAGATCTCTTGGGGGGAAAAAACCCAAACCAAAACGGAATACATTAGTCTCTTATTCACCAGTGTTTTTAGTGACTAACACACACCCAGCGAGTGAATAAATAAATGGATACACTAGAACCCCGACTCTGGCCAGTGTAGCACCCGGGATAGATCCTAAGCCAACTTGAGCTGACAGGAAACAAAGTGACAAAAGATTGGAGCAGAAGCTGACAATTCAATAAACTTAAATGATGGTTATAAATGTATACTATGGTATCATCCCAGTATTTCAGGGTAGGACCTCAAATCCTTAATCCTGACACCACAAAGAAGTTAAAAATTTCCTTATATTCCCACCAAGTTTTCTTTCAGTCTGTTTTAAATCCTTGGGACTGATTTCTTCACTCAAAACATACTTTTTATTTTTATTTAGATTCACTTATTTTACGTGCATGAATGTTTTGCTTGCATGCTTGCATTTGTGTGCACCAAATGCATGTCTGGTGCCTAGGAGTTTTGAGTGCCACATCTCCTGGAACTGGAGTTACAATGTGGGTGTTGGGAACTGAACTTGGGTCTCTACAAAGCAGCAAATGCTCTTAACCTCTGAGCCATCTCTCCAGCACCTCAAGGCACACTGGTGCACACTTAGCAGTGTCCTAAGAACCATGGAAACAGATTTCCTGCCCAAAATTCTACTATGGAGTTCAGTCTAATAGTATTAAGGCAAGTTAACAAGGACATTACAGGATTGTGATGGAGAGGTGGCTGCCAAGGGGAAGGCAGAATATTTTAATAGTGATAAGGTTGAGACGAACTTTTAAGGCTGAAGACCTAAGATACTCTGTGAAAGGAAAGGCTAGAGTGGGACCGAGTGTGCAAGAACTCTTAAAGAGAAGAGAAACTGAACAAAAACCTAGTGTGACCATGGTGTAAAGAGGACAAGGGCATTACAGATCTGGGTTTTATTCTAACCAGCACTGATGTTACACAAGGTTTCCAAAGCAAATTCCAGGACCTAGAAGAACGGACTTAGAAAAAGTATTGGTAGAAAAACAAAAGTCTTTGAGGCTAGTATATAACGGAGGCAAGGGATGAAGGTGGCCTGGACCACATTCCAAATGAGATGGCTATTTCTGGGCCCACCCTAACAGTATTCAATCTAGCACCCAGAGAACTAAGATCAGTAAAGCCAACACACTCTGAAGACATCTACTGACAACCAGGGATAGCGGCTGGCAAGAAATCCAGTGTTCACCTCTAGAGCTAAGTGGGGGAAAATGCTTGCTTTAGTGGGAACTAAAATCCATCTGTAATCATCTATATCCACCGGACACAAATCTAACTTCAAGTACAGGCAACGCTTCTTCAGAGTTTACAAATGACCATCACAGGGGGTAGTGGTGCATACTTCTAATCCCAGCAATTGGGAGGCAGGGGCTGGGGCATCTCTGTGAGTTTGAAGCCAGCCTAGTCTACAGTGAGTTCCAGGACAGCCAGGGCTACACAGTGAGACCCTGTCTGAAAAACAATCAAGCAAACAAATTAGCGGGCGTGGGGAGGAGGAAGAGGAGAACCGTCAGTTTCTTAGCACCTCTACCAATGAAACCAATCCTCATAAAGACGGTCTCAAGCTCCCCACCATACAGACTGCTGGCTACTGATAACCTGTTTGTTCACAATCAAATACTTGTAGAGCAAGTACAGAATAAAAAGGACAACCAAGCAAGGGTATGTAAGCAGCCAAGGCTGAAAAGCACCACGGCTGGTGACAGCTATATGCAAACTGTAGTGAGGGACTTGAAAATCTCCGTTGAGAAGTTAGTCTCTACACCTTCCTACTTCAATCGCCACTACACGTTTCTACGTATAAAACTTTATTGACGTGTACTGAAATCGACTCTGCAGCCCCGAGTCCCGAGCATCTAAACACACACAGGGAAGTCGGCTCTCCCATTCAAGGCTGCTTTTACCCAATGAAGTTCTTAAGTGAATTCGGTGGCCCCAGAAACCAGCCACCTCAAACCTAATTTCGGACGGGATCTCAGCCCGAGCCAGAAGCACTTGGTGGAGCAGTTAGGCTGCCAGGCAGGGAGCTGCTTTACGATGCTTACGATGGCACCGGGGCCCACCCCATTCGGAATAACCGAGGGGAAGGATTTGGGGAGGGGGTCACTTGGCCAAGGAGCGGGCAGAGAGAAGAAAGGAAACCTCCCTGCGGTCCAGCGACCGCCGAGGAGCCGGGTCCAGTCCTGGCACGGGGGTGTGGCTGGAGCGGGATGCCCAGGTGGCCACTGGCCCGACCCCTACGAACCCAAGGGGTCTGCAGTGGCCCGGCCGGCCTCGCTGCCCTGGCTCCCGGGGTGGGCCTCGGGCAGAGGGGCCGCGCAGGCCGGCGCTCCACCCGGAGGTGCCCAGTCACTCGCCCTGACTCAGCTAAACGCCGGCGCGGTGGCGGCTCCTCCCTGGGCGCCTGCTCCCGGCCGCACTCACCGGCTGAAGTGATCATGGCTGCTCCCTGCACTCGCCCGTCCGCTAGTCCACAGTCCCGGCCAAGCCCCGGATCTGTCAGCTCAGGGCCCGCTCGCTCCGCCGCGCCTCCAGGTTCCCGGGTGCGCTGCTCAGTCAGTCCCCTCCACAGGCCGCCGGCTCGCTTCTAGTCGAGGACCCCGCCCGCCCTAGGGCTGCCCGCCTCTCCGCCTGAGGCTTGGCGCAAATTCGCCTGCACGCCTGTGTCTTTTGTGCAGCCGCCGCCTCTCGAGATCATGCGACAGGGCAGAAAACAATGTTTTTTGTAACTCTCCGCGAGGTAAGGCCTCTGACAGGCTGGGAAGGAACATTGATCTGCACCTTCCATCAGGCTTTGAAATAGACACCCTTGCCAAAAAAAAGAGGCCCAT